TTATGATCAGCAGATGAAGGTCAAGCAACCATACACTGGCGATGGAGATCATATAATTGTAGCAAATCATTCAAGATCAAGTGACACTAGAGAGGTGGTCGTAATCACACCATCATAATTGAGCATCAGGGTGAAATTTCAGTGCATGCCTTAATGATGTCATTTGAACTAACAATGTTTGGTTATTGAAATTATCTCATTGAGATGTTCGATTCAATTTAGAAGAATACAAGCTTTGTCTATTATTTGGCTATCTAATTAACATCTTAATTATTTTTATTATGTTAAAATGCTTGATTGAAGCTTATCTTGACTCAAATTTAGGTCTCTCTCATCAAAAAGTTCAATTGGATGATAAATTTGTTGTACTCGGAATTTGGGTGATCTTGACTGACATTGAAAAATTTCTTATGGGCGTCGAGATTTGAGCTTGGCCACATGGATTCTTTGATAAAACATCGATAACAATGATGTGAAATTGATTAATTACATTGTATCAATTAAGTTAATTTAACGTGCCGTGTGTTTGCCACTATATGCGCCACGTGCTTGTTTTATAAGTCGCTGCGCTGGAATCGTTTGCCACGTGTCAGTTGGAACTTGGAAGGTTTCGCAATTTAACATTTTCCTCTTTTTTCCATTTTTTTTTATTTTTTTTATTTATTTCTTCGGTTTGGTTAGCTTTAAATGGAAAAATTATTCCATGCGGATCGGCGTCCGCACGCAGCTTGCGTGCGGACGCCGAGATCCGGACCGTAAATCACATGATTTACGGTCCTGATGTATTTCGGTGGGCCCCACCTAAAATTTTTTATTTTTTATTTAAAAAAACGGAAATAATCCTGACCGTAGATCACCGTGATCTACGGCCAGGATCGGACACCGCATGCAGAGATGCATGCGGTGTCCGCACGCAATAATCTCCCCTTTAAATGGCAACCCCATATGATTTTCTAATATTTTACTTTAGTATATGCGTTGTAGAGACGAAAAATTATTCCATACAGATCGATCTACACTTGATTACCGCAAAAGGTGGGTCCCGTTTTTAAATTTTTTTTAAAAAAAATTTTTTTGGTCAACGGTGTAGATCGGACACCGCTTGCATTTCTGCATGTGGTGTCCGTATGGAATAATTTTTGTTTAGAGGCAGCTAGTAACATAGTCAAAATGGGACAAAATACAAAAGTTGAGAAAGAGAAGTAATAAAAATAAAAACATGTTAAAAAGCATATTCAAATTCAACGAATATGAACTTGTGGTAACTGTATATTTTTAAGAATGAGTCGAGAGTTTACTACAACATTTTTACAAGTTATTGTCCCGTAAATCTGACATTAATACAAAGAAACTCGGTGCTAAATAGCCTTAGCATTGTATTTGCGATGAAATTTTGCTCTACATAAAAACCAGAGTGGTAATTCAATTAGCGTCGATATAGTTCGACGTTAATTATTTGTGTCGGGTCTTAGCATACAAACATGTCAATGTTAATCGGCTTCAATGTACCCAGTTCGGACGCAAATGTCAGCTACGTACTTTACGTCCAGTCTTATCTTGTGGGAATTTTAGTCATGGTTTGTGTTGACTAAATCTGCTGGAGATGATTTAGCGTCGAAACTTATCAATTTGCGTTGGAAACGTTTGAAAGTATTACTGTCTAAAATTTTGAGATTGTTTGTCCGGTTCGAAGATGGGTCAACAATTCTTGTGAGGGAATTAATGCTGAACTTTTAATCCAAGCCCTTAGTTTTAATTCATTTTCATATCTTCAAACGTATTAAACATATGTATATAATTTTTTTTAAAATGAGTAATAATGTCTCATTGTTTCGCTATATTGAGGGATGAAAGGTAACACCTAAAATATAGTCATACACACAGTTATGTTTAATTGTTTTAAGTTGATTGCACTCTATAATGTGTTGATTGTTGTGATATTTTTTGTTATTTAAGAATATTTGTACAATAAGGTCGTGAATGTACAATATATTTTATTCAGATAGAAAATGAATCACTGAAGGTTCTTAAAAGATATTGAGGCCTTAGTGACAGCTGTAACTCAACTTCCGACTTATCTTTCTGAGGGTAGGTTTCAGTGCTCATGTTTCAAACACAAAAATTAAGCACACTTAAGGCTTGACAAAGTCAGATATGATCGATATCGTCGAGGATTTCAACCTGATTATTGGATTTGAACTTCACATTGTAAGGTAGACCATGCAATGTTCAACTCTTATCCTTCAATGAGCTATGCTTCTTCATCTGAATATGATTCAAGCAGATTAGAAGAAATGATTTTCAATAGGACAAGACCGTATTATCCAAGTCAAATGGAAGAAGATGCATCAAACCTTGAAGCTAAAAACTTCTATAAATATTGAATGTGGCTTAAAGGCCATCGTGAGAGGGTTGCACGTCTCATTTTGAGTTATCTGTAGCTCTCATGTTTAGCTCATTATGTAGCATGTGTTCCATTCGTTCGTTAAGCAAGCCTGCCAAACACAAAAAAAATTTTTGAGTTTGATTTATAAACAAGATCAACACAAACATTTAAAATGTCCATTGTGTCTTATTAAGTATCATATTTTTATTTAATTTCAACAAATTAAGATCATTTTAATACAATAGGTCCAAGTTTTTTTAGGTATATCTCTATCTTTCTTAACATGGGTCGAATCTAAAACATCTAGTCTCGCGAATGGGTCATTAGATGGTCAATGTTTTATGTGACCAAACTATCTAAGAAGACTCACTCTAATCTTGTCTGTCACTAGAGCAACACCAACCCATTCACATATATATTCATTTCACACTTTGTTTCTAAGTGTAAAGCCCCTCATCCACCGAAGCATCCTTCTCTCACCAAGACTTAACTTAGCTTTATGCTTCTCTTATATAAGCCAACATTCCGCACTATAAACATTGCAAGTCTGACCACCATCTTATATAATTTTTGTGTAAGTCTATGTGGTAAATACATTTTGACATTAATTAGCGTGTCTGGAAAGAAATTTTAGCAACAAAATATGATAATTAATAAGAAAGTATAGAAAGATTTATCTTACATTTTGCGTAGTATGTTATGTATTATTAAAATTAAGTGCGCCAAGTGGGAGAATGTTATTTTTTTTTTTTTTTATGACTCACATTTATTTTAATAACTTATGAGATTTATTTTGATAACTTAAATTATTTATTTAACTCATAACTTATGTCATAAATTATGACAACTTATGATATTTATTTTGATAACTTAAGTTATTAATTTTTTTAACTCATAACTTATGTCATCAATTATGATAACTTATGATATTTATTTTTGTAACTCATAATAACTCAAGTTATTAATTATCTTAACTCATAACTTATGTCATAACTTATGATAACTTATGATATTAATTTTATAACTCATGTAATCCCTTAAATGAATAAGAGTTACTAACTTATGTCATTGATTTTAATAATAAAAAATTAATTAATTTATTAAATTATCATAAATCTTATTGATTTGTAACTCCTTTGATGGATGGTGGTTAAATAGAGCATGATTTAGAGAATGAGTCATCTCTCTTTCTAACACACCATGTACATTTCTCTCGATCAGAAAGTACATAAAGTTTCAAGGGATTACA